GGGATATATGCATTCCTTGATTACCTGAGACCGAAGCTGCTGGATCTCTGTCTCCAGTTCTTTGATTTTCTCCTCGCGTTTCTGAAGTTCGGCCTGTGCCTCCTGTCGGGCGGTGAACTCTTCATCAAACTGCAAAGATCAGAGCAGAAAGTCATCATCCACATCTGAAGATCAAGGCAAGCATTATATGTGCCACTTCTTGAAAAAAAAAAAGGCTTGAAGGAGAGTAAGGCTTGGAAAAGCTTGGCACTTGGAAAAATAAATTATGTTTGAAAGGGTCAGCAAATAGAGATTTAAAACTGGTCATATAAAACACAAAAAGGAGCTTATAACCTTTCGGATGAGACGTCGGGCATGTTCAAAGCATCTCTAGCCAAAATGTTTGGTTTTGGATACAGTAGGGAAGGGTTAAAACCTCCGTCAGGTTTTTATTGCTCAATACACTCACTGGCCACTTTATTAGGTATACCTTGCTAGTACTGGATTTGACCCTATTTTGTCCTCAGAAATGCCTTAGGTTAGGGCTTTTCCCCATAGTTCTCCTAAGGGTAACGGGAGGACAGAAATTAGCGTCCTCCCGTCACCCAAAGCTCAGTATACAGTGAGCTACAGCTCGCGGTATACCGAGACGCCGCAGCCAGAACGGATCCCAACAATTCTGTCTGGATCCACCCAGCTGCGTGAGTGACAGCTGGCCTTCCACAATTGCCTCATCATGATTGACCAATGTAATCTTTTTGTTTTTAACGGTTTCCACCACAACTACAGTGAGAAAGAAGTGGAGTGGGTTTTTATATATAGATCTATATATAGATCTATATATATAGATCTATATATATCTATATATAAAGTATTTTTATTATTATGAAATCCTTCTTTTTACATAAAAGATTTTAAAAAATAAACAAACTCCTCTGAGTCAGCCCTGTGTGTCATGGGGTCTTTCACTTTCTGATTGTAAATAATATGTATTAAATATTTAGTTGCATGTTCTCCCTGTGCTTCTTTGGGTTTCCTCCGTGTACTCCAGTTTCCTCCCACTCTCCAAAGACATGCTTTGAGCCGACCTGTGACAGTCTCATTGTCACAGGTCGGCTAGAACTATGAGGTGAGTGAAAAGCACTCCCCTCATAGTTCTCCTTTAATTGGCTACTGTCTAAATCGGCCCTGTAGGTGTATATGTAATAGGGACCTTAGATTGTAAGCTGCTTGAGGGCAGGGACTGATGTGAAGGTGCACTGTGTAAAGTGGTGAATAAATTGCCTGCACTATATAAAAACCTAGAAAAATAATTTAGTTGCCATTCATATTTACTTTTCTTAACAAAATAGTAAAAAGACCAATGGAAATACATTGTAGCATTCAGCACCAACATGTATACTTATTTTTTCCTCCTTTAAGAACTAAAAAAAAAAAAAATCCTCTTCCATGAGTACCTTTGAAGCTGCCTGTGCCTGTGATAAAAGTACCTACATACTAGATCTAAGATCTGCATTTGACCCTTCAGAGTGCCGGAATCCTTTTAAACATGAAATCCAGCTGGACTGCAAATGAAGCTTGAGCTGCAGTCACTGAAAACTGTTATTTGGCTGTTTTTTTTACCAGCAGAATTAATTTCCTAATCAGAACATGGAGGAGTAAGAAAAAAAAAAAGTTCTAAAAGTATTTGAGGTAGTTTTTTTTTTAAATTATTATTATAAACTTGGTAGGAAGCCACTGGAATTGGAGAAATGTTATGTCAGCCATTGTTTGGTGAGGCTGCTCGCGGGCCCCCCTTGCACCGATATCCCCTTCGCTTCTCCCCGCTGCTTGTGCTTTGCATCTAAAGCGCCTTTGAAATATTTCAAAGCCGTTGCTTAAAAATAGCTTTGCCAAAATGTCATTTAGAAAATGGGGGTTGGGCATTCGGCATGGGCTACTGCGGCCTCATTAGGCGCGGTTCAGAATAGTATCTCTCACCGGCTGTCAGTGAACATATCCTCATAGTCTGCAGACTAAGACTTAGAAGTGTCTAAGGGGATTGTCAAAGAGAATTTCCATTATATATATTTATTACATATACACACACACACACACGCATATACACATGTATATGTACACACCAAAAAATTTCCCCATATCGCTCTATGTTCACTGGCCACATAGGCCAGGTAAAAGGAGACTATATGGCATGTAGTATATTTCTTTAAAAGCAGCTCTGTCATGAAATTCCAAGGTCCACTTTATTGATGACCCCCAACCTCTAAATACAAAGAGCCTAAATATGATGTCAAAAATACATTTTACAAAATGGGAAACAAAATAAAAATCTTTCTTCAACCCCGACTTCAGGCATTTCCATTAAGGGTAGGTGATGTCACTGTGCCTCCCCACTGCCTGCGAGGAAATATTACATTTGCAAGAATGCTTTTCTGCAATAGGCTGCCCGGCTTTCTCAGAAGGCAGCAGTGAGATGCAATGACGCCTCTTGCCCGCATCCGGAAGCATCAGAAGCCAAGGCTGGGGGTGTTTATTTTGTACAAACTTTATTTTTTACATCATCTTTTAAGCCTTGGATCTAGGTTATTCTCAAGCTCCACACAGCTTTGGACTTGGTCGCTTGTGATACCAGCAGGGACCGGAAGTGCTGGTCAAGCTTGGTTCTTTATCTGTGTGTGTGACATGGGGTTGCTTTCTGCAGAGCAATTGACCCCTGGAGGTGTACATCATCTATTCATGGCATTTTGAGATCTGCTACCCAAACACCAAGCTCCCCCTTCCACACAGGTCACTGGGCAAGCTCCAATCCCAGGATCTCACTTTGGCTTTATGTTAACCTTGAGCTCCCCAAGTTCTTGACACAGGAACCAAAAGTCCAAAATCACCCTCCCTGTAAGCACCCCCTTAGGAACACTGGGCAGGATCCAACCTAGCAGAACTAGATTCCTCCTCTTGTCACCATAAAAAAATGTCTTCCATTAACAGAATTCCCCCTAAAAATAAACAAATGTTCTGATTGGAAGGCAATTCCTTTTCAAGGAAAGTAAACTCTCTACTAAAACAAAATAATGTTTACAAAAATCTAACATCAGACAAAGGTTCCTGTTTCTTCACAATCAAACACTACATTTCTTCCAAAGTTACACAGCTCCAAACAGATGTGCTCAATGTTCACACAGTTTGGATAGCCATCTCTATAGCATCCTTCAACGAATGAAGGGGCAAATGTTCTCCACCTTTCCTTCTCCACTAGGGAGCAGTACCAACAGAACTAACCCTCCTAAAGTGAACAGCCCAGTAATCTAGGTGCACCCTAGGTTGGGGCTCCCCAAGTTCCCAACACAGGAACCCAAGTCCCAAATCACCAGCTCTGAAAGCACCCCTTTGGGAACTCTGGGCACAATCTAACCCAGCAGAGCTAGATTTGTCCTCTCACCTCTATATACAATTTCTTCCATCAGGAGAACTCAAATGTTCAGATGGGAAGGGAATTTATCTTAGAGGAAGGTGAACTCTTTAGTTGAGCAAAATAAAGTTTACAAAATCCAACATCAAAGGTTCCAGTTTCTGCATGGTCAAACTTTAAATTTCTTCCAAAATTACACCACTCCAAACATATGGGCCCACAGTTTGGATAGCCATCCTTCTACCAATGAAGGGGAAAATGTTCTCCACGTTTCCATCTAGACAACACTCCCCCTAAGGAGAGTGCACAGCTCAGCACACTAGGTAGCCACATTCTGGATCTGTCTGCCTCCTCAACTTCCTTCCCATGCAGAACCAAGCCAAACAATTGCACCACACCCACCAGACATTAGATATGCCCAACAAAACAAGAAGGACTAACAAGGGATGTATGGAGTGCGGGTAATCTGCAACAACAGGACTAATAAGGGACACTGCCTAACCACCATTTAAGCAGGACCCCAAATTAAAGGCCACACTGGCTGTCAATACATGTGGGAAAGCCCTGATATCCTAATGGCAATGTGGCCATTTCCACTTTAGATAAACATTCCAGGTTGGCCAGGTTCAAATAAATACCATTAAAGGGGGGGGGGGGGGGGGGGAAAAAATTTCCCCCACACGG